GTTGACCGTGGAGCCGAGCAAACTGAAGCTGTGAACAATCTCAATCTCTTCGCCATCCATCCTGATGCTACTGATTGGTCCAGTGGGGAGAATTTTTGTCTTCTTGACATTGAGCCTCAGTCCACATTGAAGGCTGCAGTCCTTGACCCTCTGCAGTAAGTGCCCCAAGGCGGAGCCTAAACCGGTTGGGCCCGAGGGCTGCAGAAGAAAAACACAATCTATACAGGAGTTCTACAGGACACATCACCGTCCCTTCGGAGACAGTACAAATAAACTTAAGAGACACTGGACAAAGGGAAAAAAAATCTCTCTGACAAGCTGTCAGGTCATGGGTCGGACAATGGGAGATTAATTCTGAAGGCATTTGGTAGAAGTGAAGTGATTCCTGCTGGACGGTGGAGCTGGGAAATAAGTGGGTCAAGGCACTGGGCTAAGGGCAGGGACTACACTGTAACTAATGGTCAACTCCAAAATGAGGGATTTATCTTTCACTACTCCACAAATTGCTGTCTGTCAGATATTCCTCTAAGTCTAAACATTCAGATTAAGACAAGACTAGGAAGAAGGATTGACCATTCACTTCTGAAATGGCAGGCCTCTGAAAACCCTATGTACAAGAACTATTGGTCTTAGAGAAGGAAAATTTAAGTTAGACATTAGTTTTTTGGGCTGATAGAATGGCTTGAGGTGTTTTGGTGGAGTGTGTTCTAGAGAAATTGCTACTGCTGCTTGCAAAGGTCATTGTAAAGAGGCACACAGTTAACAATGGAAAAGGTTGGTTACCATTTGACTTTGGTTAAGAAATAGTAAGGTGTAGGTGCCCTGGATAATTTGGAACCAAGTTGGAGCCTGCATAGTTTGTGGCTCTCCAGAGGCTTGTGGTATCATTCTCTGCTTAGCTTGGAGAATGTCACTGGAGACTTGTACTTGGATATTGACGTTTAGAGCATAGGAAATTTACTTAGTGAGGGGAACATGTTTGACTTGAGAAAGGTGGTGTTAATGGGGGTCACCCAAGACTTTAATAGCTGTGAAATTGGTCAGGGTGACTGCACAGGGCCTGCTTCAGTATGGTAGGAGAGACTTGGGTGCCTGCTGTTTGATGAGAATGGCATTTCTTGGAGTGACTTTAGTGACTTGGTCCAGACCTTCAGATGAGAGTCTGGGTATAAAGCGGTCTGAGTGTTTTTCAGAGTAACTGGTTAAGGAGGGAGAGACAAGGCATGATGCCAAAAGAAGGGGCTTGGTGAGCTAGTTACGGTTTAGCAGAAGTAGTTGGCTGTACATCAGTTGGAAGGAATTTAGAAAGGAAGGTGAGCAGTGTGTTGTTCAGATACAGGCTAAGGCAATAGGAAGTAAGGTAACTTAAGAGTTGTGTAACTTGACAGTCAGTGAGTCTGTATATGAGCTTTGTTTTCCCTGAAGACTGGGAGTGATATGATATGTACAGCTTATAACAGATACTTAAACTAGACGATACCTGCTGGGTTTTTTTGGAGATCAAACTAGGACCATTGTCTGTTTCTGTCAAAGTAGGGAAGCTAAACTTGGGGATGATATGCTGCAGTGAGGCTTAGTTAGGCTTAGAGTTGAATTTTGAATTTTGTTAGACTTCTCAAATCAGTCTGGTGTTGTTTGGAAGGTTTGTAATGGTAAAAGGCAGAAAGGGTGTTCCCAAGGACAGTTCAAAGAGGAGCAGTAAGGAGGTAGATTAAGCTTATGGAGGAGTGTAAAGAATTAGGGAAATTTAGGACATCCTAGATCCTTTTAGGCCAGAGAGTGAGAGACAGATTACATAGACTTCTAATTGTGCAGAGTTTTCAGAGAATTTTAACATGGAATCAAGGCAGACTCCAAGGTAGAGAGAGACATGAAAGTGGACAGTAAAGAAAGAGTTTGGGTATAAACCCTTGACTATTTGCCATTTCAGTTCTTATATTTTGAAGGACAGATGGATTGAACAAGCCAAAATTAGCTTACACAATTTGAGATTGCTTTAAATCAGGTGTGATGTTGAGGATACATAATTTTTAGAGGAGAGCTGTTTCTGGGACAGGTCCCCAGATTAGGCATAATGCCGGAGGTTTGTGAGGAGTGCTGTCCCTGAGACAGATCCTCAGACTAGACAGGTGCTTTCTCAAAAATTTGCAAATAGAAATACCATTAGACCCAGCAATTCCACTACTTGGAATATATCCCAAAGAAACCATAGCTGCCACCCAAACAGATATATGCACACCCATGTTTATCGCAGCTTTGTTCATAATAGCAAGGAGTTGAAAACAACCTGCGTGCCCATCAACAAACGAATGGATAGAGAAGCTCTGGTATATTCACACGATGGAATACTATGCTGCATTGAAAAACAAGGAACTCATGAAATATTATTCAAAATGGATGACCCTAGAGGACATTATGTTGAGTGAAATATTTCAGTCACAAAAGGACAAATACTGCACGGTGCCACTGTTGTAAAACAGGACTGACATAGAGGTTAGGGGGAGACTGAGAAAGTTGGGATAAATTATATATACTGCACTGAAACAGATGAGAGAGAGAACTGTTTAAAAGGTATATATGATTAGGTATTATTGTTATGACATGAGTCTGGAATGAAGGCTGCATGGTGGGGCGAACTTGTGGGGAGGGATTGTATAGCAATGAAGGAATTTTTCTTTTACTTTTCAAAGAGAAGAACAAACTTGAGGGGAAGGGTGGGCAGGGAGAAAAGTGCAACAATGAATGAATGGAAAGCCAAAATCTCTAAATTTTCATTAAAATTAATTTTTAAAAAAAGAACCAACTTTCACTTAATAGATTTTGGGTTTGTTTTCTATTTTGTTGATTTGTGCTACATTTGGTGTTCATTGCTTTCTTTTCTTTCTTTGGGTTTATCCTCCTGTCTTACTTTTCTTAATGCTGCCATCACAGAATTACCACAATTTGTATGGTAGATGAGTAGTCCAAGCTCAATGATCTTGTCTTTGTTTCTTTTGACTCTTGGCAGATGCCTACAGTTCTTTGATGTCTCTGGGTTTCTGATACATCTGACTCCCATCATCATCACAAGGCTTTTGTCTTCACCCTGAAAGTGTTGTCCTGTTTTTAAGGTCATTAGAAGCTCTCTGGTAGCCTAGTGGTAAAGAACTGAGCTGCCAACCCAAGGGCAGTTCAAATCTACCAGTTCACAGCCTCTGAAAACCCTCTTGAGGATGAACTATGACTCCTTCTTAACAATAACACAACAAAAGACCATTCAGAAGGGATTGTTGTTTTGGTATTATCTGTAGGGAATTGTACTCCTAATCCAAAATCAGTCTGTCTCCCAGTTGACTCCACCTTTGGCACCAGGGGAGAAAGAATGGGCAGTCTTCTCTCATGATTTACAGCCTCTGTGAGTCATTTGGGCTCAAATGCAAGGAGGGTATTCAAAAGGGATAAGGATTTAGACCTAGTTTATTCTAGTATAATCTCACACAAATAATTGAGTAAATGGAAATAATCTTCTGTGCTGCCAGATTTCTTTTATTTCCTCCTAATGTTTTTGTTTTATATGTTTTGAGATGGTTTTATTTATGTTTGTTTATTTATTTATGTTTAAAATTATTGTTACCTCGGGGAGCTTTGGTGGCCTAGTGGCAAGGAGCTGCAACTACAATCCCAGAGGCGCACAGTTTGAATCCACCAGATGCTCTACCAGGGAAGGAGAGACAATCTCCTCCTGTACCAGTCAGATCTGATTTGATGGTACACTCACACACAAATAATAAAAATTTAAAAAAAAAAATCTAACTTAAAAAAAATTATTGTTACCTCTTAGCAGATGGAACCTTTCTAAATCATGTAGTAACCTCCTTTATCCATATTGAAATAAAAATGTTTTCTTTTGATTTCATTTTGTACTTAATATCTTGTCCTACCCTTGAACCATTCTGCATCTTTCTTTATCTTCTTGTTGTGTACCTGACCCATAGCTGACCCTCCAGTGGATTTTCAGAGGCAGGTATTTGCAGGAGAAGAGATTGACCACCCTTCACCTGCTGAGCAGCTGGTGGCCTTGAACCAATGCCTGACTTTGGAATTTCAGCACAGCTTGCCATAAGGCCACCATAGCTCCATTTATTTATCTATTAAGTCATATCATATCAAAACTCAAAAATCTCAAATCTCATTGCTTTTGAAACAGGTCCAACTCATAGGGCCTCTCCATTGGTTTCCAAATCCCTAACTCACAAAACCAAATAGCCAGGCTTTCCTTGATAATTCTAACAGCCGTCTTAAATTGACTTTTAAGTGATCAACATTTCAAGTGTTTTGACTCACTTTGGGAATCCCAGACTTCTTTAACTGTTTGAAGTTAACAGTGACTACACAGTTGTGTTGATTGGATGATGTTACAGGACTTAGTTGGAGTGAGTCTTACGTTTTAGGTAAGCTGTTATCAGTAAGTGTATTGTATGTAGTAACTATTTAGTGAATTTAAAAAATTAATGTAGGTGCATTTCTTTGTATTTATTGTAAAATTATTACATCCTTAGGTAATACATATTACAGTACAATTATTACCATCCTAATGTAACAATTTTATGGTTAGTTTATAAACTATCTTTTAAAACTCTGTTTTGTTTTAGTCCCAGAAATCCTGGATAGAAAGTACTTTGACCAAGAGAGAATGTGTATATATTATACCAAGTTCCAAGGATCCTCACAGGTAAGCATACTTTTGCTTCTTCTAGGATTGTCTGGAAATGTTGATGTAAAGTATATTGTTAGTTATTTATTCCAAAGTGCTCCCCTTATCTTCAGTCTCTCAGATCTTTGTATTACAAAGATAAGCAGATAGGTTATCTATTTTAACTGTAACTGATTCACTTCTTTTGAGAACTTAAAGATGTTTGTGTTTATTTATCATGCCTACTATCCAGCACTGTGTTTCCTACTTAAGAAATCAATAATGAACCTAATAACATACTCATAATGTCCCTTAATGGGAGGAGACTACCTGTCTTCTGCTCCCCTCCCTACCAAGCAGCAACTGGAGAATTTATACTGCCCTAACCTTTCATTAGTGGAACAACACATTACGTTCTATGTCATCAGAGCTCCTTATGAACCTGGTAGATCCTGTTTTGTTTTGTTTTTTCTTTTTTTTAATTTTTATTTTATTATTACTTTTTTGTGTGTACCGTCAAATTGGTTCTGACTGCTACAGGAGGAGATTATCCCTCCTTCGCCAGCAGAGCATCTGGTGGATTTGAACCGTGTGCCTAGACCCTGTTTTTAAGTTACTTATTTGCTGATAGATAAATCAGCATTTAATGGGAAACCCATCATCACTTACTATCATTTTTTAGTTTTTTATAATAGAAAAAAATAATGAACTTAAAAGCAAGGAAAGGTTTGCTTCTTTGTAACACTTGATTGAAAACACTTTTGCAAAACTTTTTTATTCTTCTGAGGTATGAAAATAGATAAAACTTTTAAAAAGACAAATCAAAGATTACATTAATTTATAGGGGTAAAGCACCTCTTTTTTGCCACTGAGGAAGAAAACCCTGACATAAGAGGATTTACAGATTTTTAAATCTCTTTGTATTTCCCATCTTCTGTTCTGTCCTTGTTCTCTACTTGCCTTTGCAACTTTAACTTCCATGTGATATATAATTCTTAGAAAAGTAACTAGATAGTTTTTTATTAACTAATATCTCTTTTAAATTACAGCATCAGTCACTGTTCTTGTTCATAGTGAGTACTCGGTAGTATTTGTTGACTAGCACTTCGAAAACCTTTTATTATCTTACATAATCCTGCTATTTGAATTCAGCATTTTTCTTGATTTTAGCATAAACCAATTTTAAGTTGTTCTCTTGCTTAAAAACATAACATTTCTATTGTAAGAGTAATGCACATGGTAAATTATTAAAAATTTTAACAGAAAATTGGCTCAGTGCTCAGTTGCAATCCACAACAGTCATTCATTATCAGAAGTATTTCAGGGAATTTATTTCTTCTCAGTTTTCTCAGTGCTTGGTGTTATTTTCCTTTGTACTGTGAACACTTTCTAGATTGTATATATTTGATAAAAATGATAGTTAATATTCTCCTGTATTTATAAATTATATAAACTTTCCACTTTCGAGCATTTGAGTTGTTGACAGTTTTGAACAATTAGAAATTAAAATTAGGTCATAATGAAGGATATTTTTGTGGATATAAGGTTTAACATATGTAATGTCCCACCTTTATTTAATATATATGATTCTAAAAAAAACTTTCCAAAATAATTAAATCAATACTCTTTGTCAACAACAGTGAACAGTGTTGTAAAACAGTGCCTGCTTTACTGAATATTGACTAGATTAACATTATGCATCAATTTTAAGAAAAAGTACCAGCGAGCTCTGGTGGCCTAGTGGCAGGAAACTGCACTGCAATCCCAGAGGTGTGCGGTTCAAATCCACCAGATGCTCTGCTTAAGAAGGAGGAACCTCCTGTACCAGTCAGATCCATTTTGACAGTACACACATTAAAAAAAAAAAAGAAAGAAAAAGTACCAAGCAGAAAAATAGTATGTTTTAAATTGGCTTGATTTAAAAAACCTTGATTTCTATTGAATTAATATTTATTTATTATAATTTTTTTCTTTAATGTCTTTTATGTTTTGGGATAAATTCTGTATATATCAGTAGATTTACTTTCTACATTATTAAAATAATCCCCCACTGCTGTTGATTTGGTTCTGGCTCACAGGAACCCTATAGGACAACATATAAATGCCCCGTAGGATTTCTGTAAATCAACAGGGAAATAGACAACCTCTTTCTGCCTCAGAACAACTGTTAAGTTGGAACCACTGACCCTTGGTTTAGTAGCCCAGTGCTTTTATCCATTGCAGTACCAAGACTTCTGTAATTCTCTCTTCCAAACTCTAGATCTATGCCTTTTGTAACAGACTTTTAATTAGTTACTTCTTAAAGGTATGTTTTATTTGGCATGACATCACATTTCACAACCAGGGAAGATAAACTGCCTTTTTCCAAGACCATATTAATAAAGATTAGGATTAGTTCTCCTTAATTCAGTGTGCCAGTTAAATTATTAGACATTTGCTTTTCATTTGTTGTGAGAAAATTGTAGTTTTATTTCACTAAAAATTAAAATTGTATTAAAAGTATTTTTTGCAATTTTGTTTCATTTTACAGTAGACATAATAAAAGCACTTACCAGGTGTTATAGAAACTCCCAAGCATTTACTAAGTATGTTCAGCTGTAACCATTCATATGCAATATTTCAAGAAAGTTGGTTATGTTGTTTTCTCACATATAATATGCCCATGCAAATAGTGTGCCAGTCATACAGTATACATCATGGGGGCTAAGGAAAAGTAAAGCATGAATGAGTTAAGCAGTTTGCAAAAGAACAAAACAATACAAAAACCCAAACTGCATAATGTACATGTTGTTTTTGTAAAATTAAAGTACACCTTTCAGTAACTCACTACTTTTTAAATTAAGCTTGTAGAAATAGTTTATACTTTAATCTGATTTGAAGAGGGGTGGGTTGGTTTTTTAAAAAATATTTTATTTTGTACTGCTTTATATGCAAAGTTCAAATACATTGCTTTTCACAGATTTAAAATTTTTAAGATATTAAAGGTTCTTAATAGCCTCCTCCTCTCCTTTGTGCTGTAACTACCAAGTTTCCCCTCCCAGAGACAATTTTTTTTTAATTTTTTTATTTTATTTATTTTATTATTTTATTTTTTGTGCATGTACCGTCAAATCAGATCTGACTGGTACAGGAGGAAATTGAACCATGTACCTCTGGGATTGCAGTACAGCTTCTTGCCACTCGGCCACCAGAGTTCCCCTCCCAGAGACAGTTGTAATTCCCCATGCCTTAGAGTTCTTTTTCAGAATAGTCAGCCATAGTCATTGTAAGCTGTGTTTTTTTAAAAATTTATTTTATATTAGTGACTGGAATAATGAAGGTAGTTGTGTCAGAGACAATAAGCTTGGCACAGTATAGGTCATGTTTCAGGGCTATTATACATAGGGACTCTAGGAGTCACAAGCAACTCAGTTGCACATAACAACAATATTGGTATGCTCATGCAATTTGTATACCCTGTGTTTCACATTACTCTTCACTCATACTGTGTTTCATACACTCATTCCTATGCTTCAATCACCATTGGAACCTTACCTGTCATTACTCAGTCTTTTCATGTCCTCACTGGACCCTTGCCATTTCCTTCACTCCCTCCCTCCCCCAACCAAACTGTTATGCTGTGATTACAACCCTCCCTATCCTCACCCCTCTGCTCTCCTTCCTCCCTTGGGTCTCCATATATGTTTTACTAATTATCCTATTTTTACAGTAATATTCTTATGCAGTATTTGTCCTTATGAGACTAAGTTAGTTCACTCAGCATAATGCTCTCTAGTCTCTCCCAAGTTCTGTAGTATTTTTTAAAATTGTTGTTTCTGAGTGCTACATAGTAGTCCATTGTGTACCACAGTTTCTAAACCCTTTCAGTTGTAGTTGGACATTTGGGCTATTCTCATGAACTTGTGGTGGTGAATAACATTGCTGTGAACATTGGTGTATAGATCTCCATTTGTGTCTCAGTTCTAATTTCATTAGGGTGTATTCCTAGTAATGGAATAGCTGGATCATATGGAGTTTCTGAGTTCAACTTTTTGAGGAGCAAGTTATGTTTTTTACCTACTACTTTGTTTTTATTACTTGTATCATACTATGTCTGACCTAGAATTTTTATTACTTTTCTTTTATGATTGATGTTTTTGCTATTTTCAGGGTCCCCCCTTGAAAAATTGAAGCTGAAATGAAAAAGAAAACTATGTGACCCATATACTATAGCTTTGTCTTAGCACATATCTTTAGGAGTAGAATTAAAGTGGACTTTTTTTTAAATTTCCTAATCAGTAGGTGGGAAATGGTATCCTATTGTTATCTTAAATATGTGCATTGCTCTTATATCATCTTTTCTTATGTATTATTTTTTAATAAACTATGTTAATATATTCTTGTTAATGTTTAATATTTGAATTTTTCTTTCTTGGTTTGAAGAATCTTTTATATAGTAGAAACACTAACTTTGACTTTCTTTTTTTGTGCCATGTACAAGTATTTATCTAGTTACATTTTTCAGTATTTCCTTTAATAGTTTCTGGGTTTGATATTACAACTAATTATATTTAAATATAGAAAATGTGAGTTTGTAAAAAAATGTTTTATGAATGTAAATCATGATATACATCATCTGATATCTACTGAAACATCAAACATATAATTTCCTATTTTTATTTACTTTTATATAGATTTTATATTGTTTAATTAATCCCATTTCCAAAATGTATCTCTTAAAAAAACTTATTTTTGTTTTGTCTTTTACAGATGCCTTCCAGGATGTCAAATTTGTCAACAACTTGTCAGGTAAATTTAATAAAATGATACAACTTTTTAAAAAATAAACAAAACAAATCAATTAGAAACATCTATTAAAATAACAGTGTGATAAAATTCACAGGGTACTGCATTTGAAGAGATTCTTAACTTAGAATTCAAGTGAAGTCACCTGAACGGAATCGTAAAAAGTTTGTTGGACAAAGATTTAGGCAGAGAGAACTGAATGAAGAAAGACCTGGCAGCAGAAAAAATCGTGAAACTGCCAAGAAACTACAGAACCTGAATTTTCAGATGAGAATTAGAGAGGTCCAAGGGAAACTCTACTGGCATAGTCTGTAGAGAGTTGTGCTCTTAAGACAGTATTTCTGTTTGTTCAAATTCACTAGCAGCTCTTCAGGAGAAAGATGGGCAGTCTCCTCTCATGCAGTTTATAGCCTCTGAAAAACTGATCACTTTGAATAGATAGAATTGGGAGAATAAAAACTATTTAGGAAAATTTTGGGTAAATCTGTCAAAAATTGAGAGCCCAGAAAAAAAGAAAAAAAAAATTGAGAGCCCAGATGGTCAAGAAAAGTGGACATCTTTGTAGGTATTAATAATATACATAATAATGTTTTGTGGAAGTGAGAAGGAAAGTTTTGAGGATGGTTATATTTCCACCTTGCACAGACTTGTTACATTATACCTCCTCAGACTTTGTTTTTGTTTTATGCTCTCACTTTGCAGTTTCCTTGTTCTTTTTTATCTCTTCCTTTATTATTATTTCCTCATCTATTACTCTTTTTCTCTCCTCAATTTTTTTATCTCATAGTTTATTTCCTCCTGAGACTCACAGTGACCCAATGTACAATAGCTGTGATCCCTGCCCTATCCTGAGCCAGTTTTACTATTTCTGACACACCTACCCCCAGTAGCCCAGGTACTGTGTCAATCCATCTCATCCAGGATCATCATCTCTTGCACTATCACTCCACTCTTCTAAGCATGACTTCTTTCTCCAAGGACTGGTCCCTCCTGGTCAGGTGCCCAACTTATATGAGACAGAGCTTCAAAATCTTTACCTTCAAGGAGAAATTTGGTTTCACTCAACTCTTCTCTAGCATCACAATTTGAAGGCGTCACTTTGTCTTCTGTTATCCTTAATCATTGTCGAGCTCTCAAATGCATAGCAAATGATTGCAAAGACCATGGCCTGAATCAGGTGTAGTTTAATCTCTAAACTGACATTGTTGCTCTTTAGCACTTTGAGGAAGCCCTTGATAGCAGATTTCCCTAATGCAATTCATCTTTTGATTTCCTAACTGCTGGTGCCCTGAGTGTTGATTGTGGAGCCTCACAATCTCCACCACTACAATACTAAAAAGGTTTGTATTCAAGTAATTGAAAGTTTGGCAATTTGAACGTAGCATTGCCCTGGGGAGAAACAAGGTGTGCTCTTTGCTTTCATAAAAATTATACCTGGGAGCACTGGTGGCATAGTGGCAAGAAGCTGTACTGCAATCCCAGAGGCGCATGGTTCAAATTCACTTGATGCTCTGCTGGAGAAGGAGGGACAATCTCCTCCTGTAGCAGTCAGATCTGATTTGATGGTACACACACAAAATATAATAAAATTAAATAAAAAAAAATTATAGCCAAGAAAACTTTACTAAACATAGTGTTGCCATATTTTTTCCATTACTAGCTATAACTGTGTTCTTTTGCTTTCTTAGAACTGTGCTCTTTTTCTTATACATGATTACCTTAGGTTTGGAACTCCCTAAGCTTTCTCAGTTGAGTTTCCTTAGTGTACCAATAAATTTTTCATTATACTTTCAAAAAAATTTCTCAGATTCACTCCTGTCAAGTTGGAACCAACTCATAGAGGACTCATAGATTTCTGAGGCCATAAAATAGGAGATTAACCATCTTTCTCCCATGGAGCTGACAGTCAATTTGAAATGCCAGAGAGTTGTGAGTGTTGCCTTTGAATTAGCAGCACAACTCTAAAGACTACACCACCAGACTGCCCTCATTGTACCTTGTTGTTTCATGCCATCGAGAGTTGACTCATAGTGACCCTGTGAACAACAGATCAGAATCCTGTCCTATCCTGTTCTATTCTTTTCATTTCTGATGTACTTGAGCCAATTGCTGTAGGTGTAAATCCGTTGCCTTGAGGGTCTTCTTCACTTTTGCTAATCCTCCCTCCTTTCCAAGTATGATGGTCCTTTCCAACTAATATCCTCTCCTAAAAACATGACCAGAGTAGGCCATACTTAAGAGTTTGTTTTATTGAGTAGAGATATCTAAACACACACACACACACACACACACACACACACACACGTATTTATATCTTAACACAGATATTGCTGTTTAAGAAATTAATACATGTTAAATAAACCCTACATTTTTGTATATTCTTACCAAACACTTTGTTTTGGTGCATCTGCTGGCCATTGCCCAATTTTTGAAAGCTTAGCATCAGATTGGATACCACTGTCCTCATTTCTTATTGTTGTTGTTATATGTGCTTTCGAGTCACCTGTGAATCAGAGCAACCCTATGTATAGCAGTTCTGAACCCTGCCGCATCCTGAGCCCATCTCACTGATGATGACACACCTACCCTCATTCACCCAGTTACTGTGTCAGTCTACGTCATCTGGGGTCTTCCTCTTCTTTGCTGTCCCTCCACCCTTTCACCATCATGTCTTTCTCTAAGGACCGATCCCTCCTGGCCATGTGCCCAAAGTATGTTAGACAGAGCTTCAAAATCCTAACGTCCAAGGAAAAACTTGGTTTCATCCTCTCTTGGATAGATCTGTTTATTCTACTGGCGGTCCATGGTATGTTCAGTACTCTTCTCCAGCACCACAGCTTAAAGGCATCAATCCTTCTATCATCCTTAGTCGTTGTCCAGTTCTCTGATGCATAGCATGTAATTGTAAAGACCATGGCCTGGATCAGGCTTTCTTATTGTGCTCAGACTTTTATGTCATATTTGCTTTTAATACCAGGAACCAACAGAAACTCCAGTTCATGTAAATAAGACATTAGCAGAAGGAATGTAACATGATTAAATACTGACTAAACATTCTCAAGCTAGTAATTTATGTGGTGTCTGACATTATTTGTCATTATATTTTTTGTCTACTATGACTCGTAACAACTGTCTAAACATTGGCTTTGAACCTTACATTGTCCTGTGCCATCTTTACCATCTCTGACACACTTAAACCCATTGTTATAGTCACTGCCTGTTTATCTTTTTGCAACTTGTCTTTTAAGCTTATGTGCTACCTTTCCAAGCATTATACCCTTCTCCAAGGGCTGGCCCCTTCTTACCAACATGCCCAAAGTATGTGAGAAAGTTTCACCATCTTTGCCTCCAAGGAACACCCTGCTTTCACTTTCTGCAGGACAGTCTGTGAAATACTCAGTACTTTTTCCAACACCATAACTCACAAACATGGATTGTTCTTCTGTTAATCCTTTTTTATTACACAGCTTTCAGGTGTTATTGCAGGTGATTGGAAAGACCATGGCCTGAATCAGGCACACCTTAGTCTTTAAAAAAATAAATGTCATTGTGAGCTGGCAGTGGCTCCCTACGATACCGTAACATACAGTTTGGAAACCTTATTTCTAAAGTTTACATAAACAGTTTTATATTATAGTCCACTTATAAAAGTATAATACCTCTTATGTGAGTTAGATGTATGAACTGTACAGAAGTCCACAAGTCTGTATACATTCTTATCATAGCCTTTATACTATTGATTCCATGCATTTTATGTTTATATGTCTTGTAAACACTGTCTTAACATTGTTCCTTGTTTAAGAATGGGCTATATTAAACAGGTTAAAGAATGCTAAAAACTCACATATATGTCTTGTTTCCTTATTTTATGTGAATCCAAAATACTATCTGGCATCTTTTCCTTTTCCCTGAAAGAATATTTTAAACCATGTCTTTTATGCTTGCCTGTTCTTTTTGTTGTTATAAGAGCTGTTTGTTTCATAGTAAGCTTCAGGAGATCTTCTAAGTGAGAAAGGATACACAGTTGACAGTTTTTATCCTTTCAGTGCTTTAAAGGTGCTCAATTGCTTTTAGCACAGTTCTGATGGATACCTGCTGTCATTCTTACCTTTGCTCTTTTGTACTTTATACTATCTGCTTTTGAAATTTTCTGTCAGTGGTTTTTAACAATGCCTTAGTGTGGTTTATTCAGATTTATTCTATTTATTTTCTTTTTTATTTCTTTTTACTTTTGTTTTTTATTATATTAGGAGGGTGGAGGAACACCGCAAGTGAGGAAGACCCTTGATGAGATGAATTCATTCAGTGACTGGGGTTATGGGGGTAGGTGTATCGGAGATAGTGCGATTGACACAGGATAGACCAGAGTTTAGGGCTGTTGTACACAGGCTCACTGTGAGTCACAGGTGACTTGATGGCACACAATATTAACAACAAAAGTTTATTTACAAAATTCGAATACATTGTTTTCCAGACTAGATTCTTCCAGTTTCCCTCATCAAATTATACAACCCCATGATTAATCTCTCCCTTTCCCTGCTCATCCTTATCCCTCAACTCCCGCCCCCTTGAATCCTCATACTCATTCAACAATATGGTTTTATGCAATATTTTTCCTTGTGGGGCTCAGTTCACTTAGCATTGTGCTCTCCAGTCCCTCCCAAGTTAGGTAATAATTTACAAAATCATTGTTCCTGTGTGCTGCATAGAATTCCATCGTGTAAGTGTACCATAATTTCTCAATCCAAATAGCTTCTTGACCTGTGACTCCAATAATTTGGAAATTTTTTTTTTCTGTAGGGAACTCTGGTGGCCTAGTGGGTAAGGAGTTGTACTGTCAACCCAAAGTTGGCTGTATGAATTCTCCAGCTGCTTTGAAGGAGAAAGATGAGTGGTTCCCTCTTGTGCAGTTTGATAGCCTCTGAAAACCCTCTGGGGGGGCCAGCTATGCATTAGTTCTGATTATTACTATTCATGACAGCAGTGAGTTAATTGTTGTAATGTACCATTGAGTCTAAATCAAACTGTAGCTGACCCTCCAGGGGATTTTCAGAGGCAGTAAATTGCTCAAAAGGAGTTTACCCAGCTTTTTCCTGTGGAGCAGCTGGTGGATTTGGACTACGTGCCTTTGGATTGACAGTGCAGCTCCTTATTTCTAGGCCAGCAGAGCTCCCGACGAGTTAAGTTTTTTAAGTATTTTCTTGTCTTCCTCACCCCTACTTCCATCATCCTATGTCTTTTCTGGGACTTTAGATCCATTTGTATTGAGCTACTTGTGTTATCAGTCTCTGATGCCCTTTTTCTTTTATTTCTACTGTCTTTTCTCTCAGTGTTTTATTTGTGATAAATTTTATTGTTACATCTTTAAGTTCATTGATTTATAGTGTCTGATACGTTGTAAATCTTATCTTGGGTTTGTTGGGTTTTCTCACTACAAATATTTATAACTATTTCATTTGAGTTTTTGTTTATACCTTCTCGATAATTTTTAGTATAGTCCTATTTTCCTTCACCTCTTCACTTATTTATAAAAAACAAAACAAAACCACTACTAAGCTGATTCTAACTTATGGTGACTCCATGTGTATCAGAGTAGAGGTGTGTTCCTTAGGATCTTCAGTGACTGATTTCTCAGAAGTACATTGCCAGGCCTTACTTATGAGGTGCCTAAAAATGAACCTCTATCCTTCCAGTTAGTAGTAGCTGTCTTAACCATTTATGCCAACCAACAAACTCCTTTATTTGTATATCTGTCTGGGTGACTATTAGTAATAGTTTCAGTGTAATTTTCTGATAATTCTAACATTTCCATGATTTCTGGATCTTCTTTTAGTTTCATTGACTTTTATTGTTTCTGTTGTTACATTTTTCTCTCTTTCATGCCTGATAATTTTTGATTACTACAATATATTGTGGTTTTGGTCTTGAGGTATTTGATTTTATTGAATCTTACCTATTAAGGCATTTTGCATTTATTCTAGTGTGCACTTGTGTACGTTAAGTTTACTTTTGATCCATTCAAACCCATTATTTACATGTTGAGAAGGTAACTGTTGAAGAGGTCTAAATAGCTACCTTGAAGATATTTGATTTAAAATTAGTCAAAACTATTTAATTTTTTTTTTCTGTAGATGCTTCTGTGGTCGCTTGGTCAAACAACATGCTTGTTTTACTGCAAGTCTTGCCATGAAATACTCAGATGTGAAATTGGGTGATCATTTCAACCAGACAGTAGAAGAATGGTCGGTGGAAAAGCATACAAAACAGAGCCCAACGGATGCCTATGGTGTCATCAATTTTCAAGGGGGTTCCCATTCTTACAGATCTAAGGTATGTTATATACTGGATTTTTCTACTTGATTATCTGTTTGTATTACCATAATCTACTCTTTCAGAAACTAGTACAGTTAAAGTATTTTAGAATTGTAATACATGATGATTCCCCTCCCCCTTTCATTTTCAATCTTTCTGTATGTTTAAAAATAGTATTTTAAGCAGCACATTGTTTGGTGGTTATTCTTTAGTTTCTCAATTTTGAGTTGGTATTTACATATTTACAAATAATAGAACTGTTATCTTGTTATTTTTTCCATTAATCTCACTTGGTCTGTGTTCTCTTTTCATGTATGAATTTGAATTTAGTAATTTTAATTATTTCTTTCTTTATTAGCATGTTACTTGTGGTTAGGTACTATTGAGTCACATAATACTTTTAGTGACCCTGTGAACAACAAATCTGTACTTTGCCCTATTCTGCGCCATCCTCACAATCTCATATGCTTGAGCATTAGTACAGATACTATTTTAGTCTATCTTGATTTAGGATTTTCTTTTCTTTTATCTTCCACTTATCCCTACATGATGTTTTTATCCAGGGACTGTTCCCTCCTGACAACAAGCCCAAAGTATGTGAGACTACATTTCACCGTCCTTGCCTCTAAGGATCACCTTAGTTGAATTTCCTCCTAGACAGACTGATGCTTCTTCTCTCATCATTTTTCATTGTCCTAATTTTAAATGTATAGAAAGTAATTGAAAAGACATGGTACATCTTAAACTGATATCATTGCTCTTAAGTATTTTGGCAAGATCCTTGACAGCAGATTTTCCCAAAGCATGTCCTTTGATTTCTTGACTGTGGATCTAGGTAAAATGAAATCACTAAAAACTTACAGCATTCTTTTTCTGATATTGTAATCTTACAGTAACATTTTAAAATGTATTTTTAACTTATTTTAATTACTACTTAAAACATTTATAATTTGTTATAAATGAATACCTTTATACTTCTTGGACAGCCTAAGAGCCTTTTCAGTACAGTAGCTGCTTTTATTTTCCTTATGGCTTTATGTGCTTTTGTTATATAAATTTTAATTCTGTATGTAGTTTATAACCTATAAAACAATACTGTTCATTTATTACTAACATTTTCATTCTGTTATTCTGCCTGTGTTCATTTCTTAGTTTTACACTTGTGACTTTTTTACCTCTTTAATTACCATTTTACTATTTGTTTTGCTTAGTGAGAGTCTAATAGCATGTTCTCTCGATCTTTATTTTTATGAAAACATATTTTTGTCTTCATTTCTGAGGAATATTTTCATTAGTGGTAGAATTCTGAATATCAGGTATTTTTCAGAAAATAATCTCATCTCTTCTAACTCTCTTCTGTTGAGAAATCAGCTTCAGGTCTTGTGAGGTTAGAAAATCATGCTGTTTTCCTCTGGCTCTTTTAAGCTTTCGCTTATTGGTAGGTTACTGTGAGTCATCATCTACTCAGTGGCTTCTAACAAGTATATGTTCCTGGGAGTATAAAGGTAGTTTACGCTTTGTCAAATAAAATTTCTCTGATACCATGTAATGTTGTATTCTGAAACTTGTGAACATAATCAATTCTTTTTTACTTTTTAACTTTTTTAGTATGTGAGGCTGTCCTATGACACCAAACCTGAAGTCATTCTGCAACTTCTGCTGAAAGAATGGCAAATGGAATTGCCTAAGCTTGTTATCTCTGTACATGGGGGCATGCAGAAATTTGAACTTCATCCACGAATCAAGCAGTTGCTGGGAAAGGGTCTTATTAAAGCTGCAGTCACAACAGGAGCCTGGATTTTAACTGGAGGAGTAAACACAGGTGATGTGATCACTATTCCTGTTTTATTTAATATGGGTGGATATGTATGTGTGGAAGGGGTGTGGATTTTTTTAATAAAATCAGTTGAGATATTTTAAATGATTGAAAACTCTAAAATATCCTCATGAGTCTTTTTTTTTGTTAAATAAATTATAATTCCCAGGTAAAAAAGGATAATTATAATAATAGTGATTTTTCTTTAGACTTTTAAAATATAATTTACTTTAGAGCAACATTTGATGAAATAGCTCCAGTTTATTCCTTATGTTTTTGAGTGAAATTTTATTGGAGCACACAGTTATGCTTGTTTACTTCAACTTTTGAATGATTCTGTATGGTTCAATTATGATCATTGGAAACAAGCGGCATACATATTCCATAGGATCCAAATGTCTTGTGCTTTAGATTCTGACAAGAGTAGAAAACAAGGGGTGAGGTAGGGCTTATGATAGCAGCTGATCCTGCCATTTTGAATGTGTTTCAGTTACTGTGCTTTACTTAGTACTCCATCCCTGTTGGGATTATAAATTTGTAAAGAAGCTTTGATTCTATAGGAAGATGTGCTGGAATTGGGAGAGAAACATGTGCTAGTCATGCCTAAAGGCAGAACTTCTCATATGAAAAAGATGTGGAACTATTTATTACGGAATAGTTCAAATAAGCCTACACTTAACCTTGTTTATTGGGTTATCTGACATTATGGAAAGCAATGCATGATTATACTGTTATTATTGATAAGTTGATAAAAATAACTCCTTTGATAAAGCAGTAATAAGTAATTTTCAGAACTATACTGTCACCTTTCCATTTTTTTAAATTGCAATATATAAATGTATATGCCTTTCATATTATGTCCCCATCACGTATGTAAGTTGAATGTAAAAGAGGGAAATGAATTTTATTATCAGCTGGCAAACTTTACAGTTCTTAGAGCAACTTTTTAAAAAAAAATACCAGTGTGTCAGGCACTCTTCTGAACACTGGAAATCAATGGAAAAAAATAAGTATGTACTTTCACAGAGTTCATAATTTAGTCAGAGAAATGCAGACAAAGACTGTATATTATGTTAAATGTTTAGGTCTATGGAGACATAAAATAATGAGGAATGATAGTAGGAGATGGTAGGGAGACATTTTTATAGGACTAAAAAAGAACTTCATTGATAGATGGTGTTAGAAGGAAATAAGGTAACAAGAAATTAGAAGAACTTGGGCAGATCATGCACAAGAGGGGAAATAACTAGTATATTGGAAGAATAGTAAGTTGCATCCATTGTGCTTTGAATGGAATATGCAAGGAGGACAATGTGACGTGGCTAGAAATCTATGAGTGTGTAGCAGCACTGGAGTATAGTGGATAGCAGAAGTAACAAGAAGATCATCATATAAGACTTTACAGGTCATCGTGAGCACTTTGACGTTCATGCTTTACTAGATAATTGAGTGTTTTAAGCAGAACCATGACAAGGGCAAAGGTGGTCGTGGTTGTTGGCAGGTGCCATTGAGTTGAGTATGACTCATAGTGACCCTATGAACAAAAGATCTGAACCCTGCTCTATCCTGTGCCATCCTCACACTTCCTGACACAAAGAGCCCACAGCAGCAGTCACTATGTCAATCCACCTGGTTGAGGGTCTTTCTCTCCTCTGCTGACCCTCCACCCTTCCCAGCATCATTTCTTTCTCTGTAGATGAGCACCTCCTAGCAACATGCTCAAAGTAAGTGAGGTTGGAGCCTCATCATTCTTGCTTCCAAAGAGCACTTTGAGATTAGACTAATAAAAGAGCAAGGCAGATGCTGGTAAACTAGTGAGGGTACTATTTTCATAATCCATGGGAAGGATGAGGTCTAATGTAGTGTAGAACTTGTCAAATAGAGTGGTGAGTTATATTGTTCTTTTGACTTACCTTTTCTGCCTCATTTTTTTGTTCAATTGGAACTTTTTATACCTGTTGGTTGTGTGCTTTGCTTAAGGACTTATTCCACCAAGTCATACTCAGTTTTAAAAGATGACATATAAAGTAATAAAATCATTAAGAATATTTTGAGAAGTATGAATAATGACTAAACCTAACAACATGACAAAGATAGTTTTAGGTGTATTTTTTAGGTGTATTTCAGGTAGTCACAGTGATAAAACATTGTGGTGTAATGTTGTAAGTTTTCTCCTTTGCTTTTTGTAGTCCTGGAGGTTTTTCTGTAAATGTGGCTTTTGGACATACTTATCTTATATGCGTGAAGAACTATTACAAGAGTTTTAATATTACAGATCTAGCCCAGGATTTTCTGAGCAGAATAAAAACACTTAAATAAAATGAACAAGATTTTTTTTTAAAGCCAGTCTGATTCAGCAGTGGAGGGTTGTATACCAACTTTAGTTGCACTGATGTTAATAGTTTCTCATAACCCACTACCATTGAACCAGCTGAATAAAATTTTTTATGTACAGGTGTAGCAAAACATGTGGGTGATGCCCTCAGAGAACATGCTTCCAGATCATCTCGAAAGATTTGCACTATCGGAATAGCCCCGTGGGGAGTGATTGAAAATAGAAACGATCTTGTGGGGAGAGATGTAAGAACACTTTTTAAAAAAAATTCTTAAATTTATAGCAAGAATAGAACAAGTCAATTTAAACTGTTAATGAGGTCACTGTGCTTTTCAGATTAAAAGGGGTTTTTTTAGTGTTTTTTCCTGGCCCTTAAAATGTTTGTTTATATTTCTAAGTAATGATACATTTATTATCATAGTTCTGCCCTTTTTTAATAATACATCACATTTTTCCTTCATCATACCAGTCTTTGCAATTAAATTTTAAATGACTTTATGATATTAACAATTTTCACTGAGTCAAATGCTAGTGCAGGTTAAAATGTGACTTGGTTATAGATATTTATCAGGAGGCTATTGAAAAGGAATTCCTAGATAGTTTGTTTTTTTCTTCCTTTGCATGCAGTGATGAAATACATAATTTTTCAGTGAAGTCCAATATGTAATCGCTTCATTTATTTCTTCATAGATAATCTTCAGCTGCTTAGTAATATATCCTTTTTTAATATATTCTTTACTTTTTTTTACTACTTTACATATACAAAATGGAATCTTATCTCTTATTTTACATATTATTTTATAGTTTATGTCATACTATATTTAATGTTACCCATTAACACTTGTATTTGATGTTTTGTTAGGTGGTTGCTCCTTATCAAACTTTATTGAACCCCTTGAGCAAATTGAATGTTCTGAATAATCTCCATTCTCATTTCATATTGGTGGATGATGGCACTGTTGGGAAGTATGGGGCAGAAGTCAGACTAAGACGAGAACTTGAAAAAACTATTAATCAGCAAAGAATCCATGCTAGTAAGTGAACTGATATATTTGTTATTGCTAAAATAATTTCCAGAAATAATTACAATGGTTTAAAAAGCACTGTTCTTTGACATACTATTCCCCCCATACACAATGAGATAACAAATGAAACAACCAAGAATTGCTGGCCTTTGTCAAAACAAGAATATTTAGAAAACCGAGTCAGGATAGACTAAAGTATTGAAGCCATAATAAAAAGGATTGGTATCTTAGTTGTCATTGTAGCTCCATTTTAGCCATATAATCTTAATATATGATATAATTTAGTACATGATTTTGAAATTTCAAGATTGGAAATTGAAAGTGGGAGAGAAGAGAAAGAAAGCAGAATAACTTGTTAAAAATTAAGAATTTATTTGGTTAAAGGTTATAAAATGAGCAAGTGTCACTTTTTGGTGAATATGCCTTGAAGGTTTGTATAATTGATGCTGTTTGTCATTTCTAATCATGATTGATCTTTTTAGTTCAACATTGGATTTTTAAGCAGAAGAAATAATAGTAACCAAGAATGTTAGCACCACAACACAGTGAAATAGAAATAACAAAATTACAACATAGTGTATTTAGGTAATGATGAATTCACAGCATATGTTAAAATTCAGAAATGATTTATTCTTACCTTTACTTTTATTTTTTCACTGTACTGTAGGCTCTTATAAAAAAAAGGGGGTCGGGGGGCTCTGGTGGCCTAGTGGCAAGAAGCTGCACTGCAATCCCAGAGGC